GTTAGAATTAGTTAACGGTACGTCTTGTTCTACATAGTTAGAAAGTACTAGAAAATTTTAGTAGAGGTAAGTAGTAAGTCTGTCTACTTTTGTCATGCTATTATGAGAGCATATACCCCACAGAACAACCCTCCCATCAATGGCAGCACCACCACATACGAGATTCTGTCCATTAAACCTTCCAACAGGAAAAAGAGACAGCAGCTATTCTATAAGAGCATCAAGGTCTGATTGATCATAAGTCTCTCCTGGAGACGGGTAAACAGAACACACAGTGGTGTTACGACTCACAGATATACAGATGGCTCCAGCCTCCAAGGGCATAGTGAGTGGCACACCTCCATGAACTCACCCATCACACAACCTGTTATTCTGGTACAAGGAAAACTGCCAAAAGGTGACAGTATCAGCAGGCCAAAGGAATGTTTCTTGCAAGGAGAAACACATGGGATGATAGGAATCAATCAAGGCCTTAATGTCATTCAAATAAGAACAAAAATCTTGACAGTTCCACTATATCAAAGTGACCGTTTTTACTTAGGAAGAGGAGAAATGGGTGGAAAACCCTTTTGTTTGCAACCTTGACATTTTTCCTTAGCAGAAAGAGGTCTATCATCTGCCATGGAACTGCCTTAGGATGACTGGGCAGATCTCCATTGGAAGGAGGAGACTCCAGTGACTGAGGTGTGACTGAATAATGGTTCTGCAACTCTGGGCCAAAGGAGAGGGATGTGATGGTGGGGACAGAGACAAGAGTACATGTGGGCTTGTCAATTTATGCAACTATGGAGGGCAAAAGATTCTTCACATGGTGTGAGAAAGACTCTGATGGAGGCATGAAAAAATCTGTCTGCACCCCCACTGGGAACAACAACTTCTGTGCCTCAGGATAAGAGATGTTATTCACACTACATAAACATTGTACCTCTTTTTCCTCCACCCACTTAGGGCAAGAACAAAAGTATAATGGGTGGGAACCACTATAATTGATGCAGTGAGGGTCCAGTTGATACTTGTAGGCATCATGGTCTTTGCCACCACAACGAACACACATCAAAGAACCACAACAAGAATGTTTGAATCACTGACATTGGAAACACCTGAGAGGGTTAGAAATATAAGGCCTTACATTACAGTTCAGACAGTGGCAGGCAGATGTAGCAATGTAAACATCAATATAAGAACATTGGTAGGCAGCATAATTTCATCTTTACAAATGGTAATAAGTCGCACAGCAGAAACTTCTTGGCTGGAGACACCAGTGAGGATCTCCAACTTGGAAATGTTCCTTAAATCCCTCTCAATAAGTCAACTAAGTAGCAGTGTTGGATGTTCTCAATGGGTTTTTGTGGACATTATGTCTGATGCTGGTATTTTGGTATAGTGTCCACAAACCTAGGTGTTGCTACAATTTCAACATTTGGTGTTGTAGTGGGTCCCCTCATAGGACTTCATGGTGAGTGGGATCAGTGGGCACTGAATTTTCTCCATTTTTATGGATCCTACACCTAATTACTCAAAGAGAAAAACAATAAAAAAAACACTTTTATTGTAAAGCAAATACATTCAGAAGACTCTGATCAACAGTCACCACCTCGATTTTTCATACTTTGTCTGACAAACCTTTAGGGCAATTGTCTCCCTTTTTCATTCAGAAGGGATTAGAAGTGCTTGTTTGCTCTCCAAAGTAGTTAAAAAGCTACGTTCTGGGGACATCTTGGTGGAAACATCTACATTAAAACACGCGAACTCCTCCTGATGTCAAAGGCATACCTGTTGAGGTTACTCCCCATTGAACTTTGAATTCCTCATGAGGAGTTATCTTGCCCAACAGGACCAGACAATTGACCCTGGGAAAGCCACCCCCAAGGCCACCCGTTTACAGGAATTAAAGGCCAAAGTGATATATCGAAGTGCCACCAATATAAACTGACCCATCAAGTGACACCCCTCAACCACCAGGATCCTCTCCTCCTCTTCACAGGATGCCACACATGGCAAACACGTGAGTGGATGTTCAGATCCCAGATGAGGTTAACTGAGACAGAACCTTCCCTGAGAGGTCCCCTCACCATGTACAGGAATCCACCTCAAGGGTAATTATGAGAAGACTGTCTTTATAAGACAAATTATTGAAACTATTAAAAAACGTTACTGTGATTACGAATATAAAGAAAGTCTGAAACTTAGAATATCATGCACATAACCAAACATTACTGTCGTTATTGTATACAGATGAGCATTATTATAATTTTGAGCCTTACATTTAATACTGTAAGTTGGCAGAGTACATTCTGAAAGATTTTAAAAATCCTACATGAATAAAACAAGTTAAAAATAAAGTACATGTAAAGTTTTTCCAGATTATAAAAAAAGATCCCGAGACTTACTTTATGCCCAAACATCTTTAAAACAATTACTACATTGTCATTTTAAACTAAGCTGCCATTTCAACTAATGTAACAGATTTTGGCTTCTGCAGCTTTACATTTACTAACAATTTTATAGAATGACATTTAAAAATCATACCTCCCATCTGTCCATGGCATAGCTATCTAAAAACTGAATATCTCGAGTTTTTTTGTCTTTGTCTAAAGGGGCACAAACTTCCCACGTTTGTCCACTGTAAAGTAAAGAACAACTTTTATAGTTACTTTCACATCTATCCAACAAAACAGTAACACAACCATTTTATACAAACGTACACTCTCAAGTAAGAAAAAATAAGTTTCAGTTTTGAAAATAGTTGTTCATAGTTACAAATGACACATAGTGAATATGACCAACTTTGATGAGTATAGATATTGGTTGCATACATTTTATATTTTCATTAGTCAACTATATAACATAACACTTTACAATTTCCAACTCAAATTTGTGTTTTTGTGGTTGCTTATGTTAGAAATACCTACAGAAAACTCCTTCAAAGTGTTGATATACGTGTATGCAATAGGCTTTAACATCATGTATAGCCCACAACTGTAAAAAACTTAATAAATTTGTTTGACTTGTTGTTGTTTTTAAACTACTTAATTTTAAAACCACATATATACTGCTGTTACTGTTTAGAGTTTAATGTCTTAAGTTCATTACAAGGGTAATACATACAAATTAATTATTGAATAGTATATAAAAGTGAATCCACAACAGTATCCACATTTTAAGATCTATAAGACAAATTTTCTAATCTACTATGAGCCAAGAGATCACATCAAGTCTTGCCAAACTAAACTTCACCCACAGAACTCGGCATCAAGACATTCACATTTTCTTACACTGTTTTACTTTTTTCTTCAGTTTTGAAATAATTCTATCATAATGTACTCAGATGTTTGAAATAACTCCATCACATTTTGCCACAAGCAGTAAGTCATTTATTATCTGGTTAAATGTAATTTATTTCTTATGAGTAAGCACCTTTAAATTAACTATTATAGAAACACCTCTGTTAAACATACATGCAAAACAATCATCTCTTCAAATCTGCTATTGCCATATGCACTAATTACTTAGGTGTTAGCTAAATTCATTCAGAAGAAAATCTAAATATTTCCCATCATCCATTTTACGCACATCGCTATCAATAATAACTTGTAGATTAAACTCATATTTCCAATCATCGAAAGAACACTTTCTTTCATATGCAAAGCACTTTCATTTTATGGCTTTCTATTTCTGAAAGTAAACTATATTTTTCTAACAAGAGGTATTGCACCTATAATTACATGCATCATAGAAAGGATGGTGAATTATTTCAGATAACTGGTGTAAGGTTGCTGATTTTAATTAGAGCTAGGAAAATTAATCAATTACTTATGAACATCAATTAACTGTAATTTACAAGTGACAATTAATTGAAACAATGATAAATTAATTAATTGCCACTTGTAAGCAATCAATCTAAGTTAATGTTTCCAATTAATACATTTTCAATTACTGCAATAATCAATTAATCTATTAATGTCACAAATATACAACTAATCAAATGGAAAACAACTGGCTGGTGGCGTCCATTGCCAACCCTCTGCCTACTAAAGTGTTAAAATAAAGTGTATACTTACTGGGTTTTTTTTTTACACTGTTATGTTTTTAATTTTATTTGGTAACTTCATTACTTAGTGTTGGATAAGCAAGCATGGATCTAGGGGATGATGTCCAGTGGTCTCGACCCCCCCCCACCAATTTTTTTCCCAAACATTAATAATTATTCTTTAATGCCATATTAGCAGCCGAGAATCTAAGGGAAGAGCCTGGATGAATTCATGTTCTTCAACAGATATTAGAATTTTGCCTCTGTGGATGGTCAGCCTTTACTGCCCAAGAATTGGATTTAATGTGGTCCCGAAAAGGAGCATACCTGTTCCAGAAGTGGTGCAGACCCCACTGGTGTGCTATTACTATATCTCTAGCTAAAGCATGAGTAGAGGTAAGTGTGTTTCGAAAGTTAACATTTTCCTAAACTGAAAATATATTTCCGATAATAACTTACCTCCTTTCACTCTCTCCCGCCCTTCCTTCCAATGAAATGACTGGTTTAGGGTCTGTTAATTTGGACCGTCTCGAAAAGTGAATGGAAAGTAATAACGGGGAGCTTATGTACAGATCTGGTGTAGGGGGCACATTGATGCAGGTGGAGAAAATCACAAAATTTAAATTGCTATGGGAAATAGAGTGGGGTATGAAAGTTGGAGCAAGTGAGGTAAGATTCATTCAAATGCTTAGATGGGCAGAGAAGAGAAACTTTTGTTGGGATAAAGCTGAAGTGTGAGAGGAGGTGAGTGTGTTTCAGAATTTGGAATATCTTGAATAAGGCTGAAGTAATTGTGTAAAAAAATTCTTCCAATTGTGTGAAAGCTGTTACTAACATGGATTGAAAGTTAATACCATGCACTGGCCATACCTTGAATTTAGTTATCAAAAAAAGACTAAATGCAGGAATGGATTGAATGATTGCACGCTGTTCTTAGTTGGCTGAGTATTTCCAAAGTGCTACTGCCAGATAATGCATGGTAAATGAGCAAGAATAAGTTGATGTTAACATTTTCCTTACCTAAAAATGTATTTCTAATAGATACTCACCTATTAACACAAAATAAGTCATTGGACAACCAATATGAATAGTGAGGTTGAGTCCCATTTGGACTGTACCTTGTGTGCTCACCTCCTCAACTATCAGACTCAATGGGTCAAAACCAACTCTGGGAGAAGGGCACTTATGATAAGTATCCGTGCTCCCCTTCTTTACCATTCGTCTTTATGGGCCTCATGCCAGCTGTGGAAGGAGGGCTCTGCAGGGAATCACGTCTATATGGATACTTATATAAACCTCTACTTGAACATCAGTCACTATGAGCCTCATGCCAGCTGCAAGTGTTGTTGTTTTTTCAATAGGATGTGGAACAGACTGGTAATAGGGTGTTCATCTCAACTCTACTGCACAGATTCTGGCTGCGGGAGGAAGACTTGTAATATAAAAGTATAGAAAGGATCAGTATAGTGAGTTGTATCATCAGTCCACTTGAAAAATTGTGATGTATCATAGGTATATATGTGAAGTGATCTACAATAGACTCCAGTGTAACCCTAGCTTCACTTCTCACTGTTCTAGCTTCAGTGGTTAGATCCTAATTGGTGAAAATTTTCCACTCCAGCAGCTGAGAACTGGTAAATGGCAAGTTTTATGAACTCCACTTGACAAAGTGATGGGTAGAATTTGCATAGGAGAGACCAGGAGAATGTGCATGGATCCCCAGCAGTCCTTCGGTCTGGAAAAGTATTTCACGTGAGACAATGCAATGGCGACTGTGAAACTCCTATTTTTAAAAGCCGGCAAGCACTAGCCAGAAAGCTGGGCAGAAATACTGCTCATGATGGTTCATGGAATAGGTGCAGTCTAAATCCAATAAGAAACGTAAACAATATATATATATATATATAGAGAGAGAGAGAGAGACCACAAAAAACCATCAAGTGGTTTTGCAGAACACCCCATCTCACAGCGGGTACTTATAATGTGGATGGTATGGGCACTTTATTTTATCCTGGCTCAATGTAGTTTTTGGGTAAGTACACCCTGGGAGGCAACACTGACCACCTATTAAAAGAAAAATGAGTCCTGAAACAGAAATTGTGCACAATCTACTCAAATACAGTGAAGCAATGGAAAAATGGCAATCTGTGGAAGTCAAAACCATCAGGAGATAAAGATATAAAGATGGATGTGTGAAGAGAGATGACATATTTAAACACATCTGGTCAATACAGTGCCAAGAAGAAGAATGAGAATTCACAAGCGTGAAATATGGGGAAGTCATTGCGCATGGAGGTATGTCACATTCCTATTGGTTGAGTATTTTGCACCGTGATGACATCATCATTTAGTAGTGCAAGTTCACATGGTTTCTGGTGAAATTAGGTGGGAGTTTTCACAGAGCTGATGGATGAGCTGAGGAAGATAGCTATTCTGTGTGAAAAGGTATTTGTTTTGGAATTACCAGTATAGAAGCTGATTCTCCGTCGCGAGACTAGGTGGAACAGCATTTATGCTATGTTGAAGAGAATTATAGAGCAAAGCAACAATAACCCATAAGTGTGGAACTAATGGAATTGTATAAACCAGAGTTAATGCCAGAATTAGAAATGAGTAATGTGGTAAAGCTGGTTGAAATTTTAGAACCTTTTTCAGAACTTACTCAAGAATTCAGCAGTGAATCTTATGTCACTGTATCAAGTTTGTTACCTACATTGCATCAGATAAAAATCCTCTTAGAACCATGTGAAGGTGACTCAGGAGCAATAATGCAGATTAAACACATCAGATGCATCTGTTGACATTCTAATGAAAGAATGCTTTCTAGGTGCCAGATGTAAAGATATGCCATTCTTGAATGAATATAAGAAATGGGAAGTGTGTAATATGATAAAAGGATGAAGTTATTTGACTCAGGAAATATGAGCAAAGTCTGTCCATTGGAGAAGGGACACCTTCATGTACTGCCAGTGACCAGGAAGTTCAAGACCTATCAATGAAGAAAAAGACCACTGCTGGTTTAAAGCTGCCGAGTCTATTTACAAGAATAAGAATGTGTCCACACAGTACAGAAATATCCTAAAATGATTACTGAAGAGCAAGTGAATAGGTACATGGCCACTCAATTTCTACAATTACAGTACAATCCATTGAGATTCTGGGCAAATAATGCCCATTTGTACCTATAACTTAGTAGATTTGCAGTTAAGTATCTGTTAGTTCCAGCACCCTGCAGAAAGGTTTCTAGTAGTACAGATTATCTTTCGAATACCAGGTGATCCTCATTGGATTCTGAGAATGTTAACACGTTGATCTTCCATAACACTCTCAACATGAGCTCAGTCAATTTGAACAACCATGTGACCTCTTTGTACTCAATTAAAGTCATTATAGATTCAACACTTCTAACTTTCAATATAGTGTGTATAACTTAACAAAATTAGCCAGTCTTTCACTTCATATCGTAAGTCTTTCACATACAAAAAAATCATATTTTTAGTGAAGTATTTTTAATAAAATAAAATAAAGATTTGT